TCCGTATATTGTTCATGTTTCAACTTCACCTTACTTTGATATCAATATTATACATTACATCATGCTAAATGAGTAGCATGAGTTTTTTTTTTTAATTTATTTATTTTTTAATTTAACTCCTTGAATTGGATGGCATTGATTAGATAGGACTCTAACATTTAATTAAAGTAAACTTGAAATCATGGATGGATAAGTTAAAGTCGTATGATTGAATTATGATAAAGTGAGATAAATTCAATGTTATTCAACTAAGATATAGATAAATAGGCAATTAAAATTAAGATAAAATAAGTATTTTTAAAGATACCAAATAATTGACTGAACAAATTTAAATTCAGAAAATCGAAATACATCCAAATAAAAAAAAATCATGTTGAGATGTTTATATTTTATATAATATTTAAAATAATTTAAATTTGACTCCATTTGTACAATAAAAAAAATAAAAAACTTATTAAAATAAAGAAAAAGGAAAAATTCTTTAATAAGAGAACCACATGATGCGTGCATCCACCGGTCAAACATTACGGTAGTTTTATTTGGACAAAGTTTGTAAGATTGAATCTTAATATACGATTTGGGACGGATTAATATTTTATTTAACAAAATTATTTGGTATAGGTTCAAATGATAATCATAAGCAAGATTATTATCCCACATTAATCATCAATATGTAACCAAATCTCAATTAACGTCAAAAACTCATTATAGGTTAAATTAGATGAAATAGGGAAATTCCTTTTCATTGCAATCAAAGCCAAAACGCATGACTTCCAACCTAATATTCCTCTTGTTTACAGTAGTATCAAAGATGTTGCCAACCTAAGAAGGTAAATACGTATACGTTTCAAGGCGTGGAGGCCCATGTTGCCCATTTATTTAGTTTTCCAAAGATAGCGAGGAGATAGGTACCTTGTCCCTCATCTTCCCTTATAGTCCTTTTCGCTGTTTCGGATTTGAGCACTTTGATTGATTCGGTGAGACAACAAACATGGGATCGGCTGAAGAAGAGAGATCGCTTTTGGAAGCTGGACTTGTTCACGTTCTCTCTCTCTCTCTCTCTTTTACTTTTTTCGGATTTACTCTGTCTCCCGTTGATCTTTAGTTTTAAATTTGTTTAATTTTTGGTAGTCCTAGATTTTGAAATATTTTGGTCAGAGATATCTTAACACGTAACGAGATTCTGGGTTTGTTTTGTTTTCCTGTTAAAAGCATTATCTTGGAATTTATGTTGGAAATAATGTCTTAATATCTTATATTTTCCAGGCTGAAGGCAGTGGACTTTACACCGGGGATGGCTCTGTTGACTTTAATGGGAAGCCTGTTTTGAAGCAGAATACTGGGACTTGGAAAGCATGCCCTTTCATTTTGGGTGAATTTATCATATCATATCATTAATTTTTTTCTAGTAAGGGTAAGCTTACTTAATTTCTGACAAGTTTTGTTCTTTTTTAATTTGAAATTATAGGTACTGAATGCTGCGAACGTTTGGCTTATTATGGGATTGCTACTAATCTTGTTACTTACTTAACCAAAAAGCTGCATGAAGGAAATGTATCAGCTGCAAGAAATGTGACAACATGGCAAGGAACCTGCTATCTTACACCTCTCATTGGAGCTGTTTTAGCAGATGCTTACTGGGGAAGATATTGGACAATTGCCACTTTCTCCACTATCTACTTAATTGTATAATTGTTTGCTCAAATTACTTTTTTTTTTCCTGCCTTAGATGCTTAATATGTTTATGCTCCAGTTAGTTATATTGCTGCATTAATATATATTATGAAATTGTTGTTTCATTATATTCAATTAGTTATCATGAAGTTGAGCCAGCGCCATTAGAACCTTTGCATACCATTCTTTTCTCTTTCTTTATTTCACGAATGCCAGTATGCTATTAACCTTGGTTTTCTTTTCTTGATCCTTCATGACATGCAATTCAAATTCATGGTTTTCATATTTTGTTGTTAGCAGCTTTTATAGTGAGTATCTTCAGTGTTCAATTCGTAGGGGATAATCGGTAGTTCATTTTGGCTCCTTTCTGAAGATTTAATGACCACCTGTTTTACAAAATTTCAGAGTTTGTAACATATTTGAAGGAATTTATGAATTGTATTTTTCATTCTTCCATCAGTACACGTGGTAGAAATTTTGATTTTTGGTTATGTGGAATATTAATTTATGATCCTTCTAGTCATACTCTGGTTAATGAATTCTGGAATTTATATTGGGTTAAAGTGCAAGACTTGTATCTATGTTCTGATTTCTCTTTGTGAAGCCTCCGATAACACAGTTAATATTTGATAGGGAATGTGTACATTGACTCTCTCAGCATCAATCCCTGCACTGAAGCCTGCTGAATGCGTGGATTCTATATGTCCCTCAGCTACTCCAGCTCAGTATGCAGTATTTTTCTTTGGGCTCTATCTGATTGCATTAGGGACTGGTGGTATCAAACCGTGTGTCTCATCCTTTGGGGCAGATCAGTTTGATGATACTGATCCCAAAGAAAGGGTGAAGAAAGGGTCCTTTTTCAACTGGTTTTATTTTTCTATCAACATTGGGGCTCTGATATCAAGCAGTCTTCTGGTGTGGATTCAAGACAATGCTGGATGGGGTCTAGGATTTGGCATTCCAGCATTGTTTATGGGCCTTGCAATAGCAAGTTTTTTCTCAGGCACACCTCTGTATAGATTTCAAAGACCTGGAGGAAGCCCTATTACCAGAATGTGCCAGGTTTTGGTTGCATCATTTCGTAAATGGAATCTGAAGGTACCTGAAGACAGTAGTCTCCTTTATGAAACAGGTGACAAACACTCTGCCATTGAAGGAAGTCGGAAACTGGAGCACAGTGATGAGTTAAAGTAAATATCTTCTACATTTCTTGACTTAATTTTCTGAGTTTTGAATCATGTACTCCAATACTCTTAGTCATGTTTTTCATCAGAAAAATTCTCTTTTGTTTGAAATCCAATGAAATTGAAATTGATTTATTCTGTTTCTGTCTAGACATCATTAATTAATACAAGAAATTGGTTAATGGATGATAAGGAGTCAAAAATAGGTATTGAAACCACTGATTGATTATCTCTTATAGAAATACCCTGGTGTTAATTTACCACTCTACCAAACAGCTTGTGATCTTCAATTTCCCTGGGAGTTGAGAACCCCACTTTATCTTTAGTTCATTCTCTATCTTTTCCTTTCTCTTCTTTTCATTTTCTGCTTCATGATTGTGGAAACATATGCTATAAAGGAGCTATGTCTTCTATGTTAAATTCTGCATATTCAGCTTAAGTTATACATGTGGTGATAATTGATACCTTTTCTATATAAAAAACACAGCATAGAAAGAAGGTATTGCCCATGCATTTTTATCTAGAGCAAGAGTGTTTTGTGTTTATGCTGGGCTGCTACTTCATGCATTGTTTCCTTGTTTACTAGTTCTAATTCCCCTTTCTCATAGGCCTACATTTTTTCTTAAAAAATCCACTGAGGCACTTATTGGAGATAAAGTTTTTTCTGATTTATTTTGGAAATTATCACTGATTTAAGCAATTGTTGTCTATCAACTTGTTGGTTAGTAATTGTAGGTTCATTGAAGTTTCAGCAGGCATGTCTTTAAATCCCTTTTTCTTTTTTCCTTTTTTTTTTTTTATAGACAAGTTTCTTGGAGTCGTAACAGCCATAAAGTTTCTTTCAGTGCTAGCTTTGCTAAGTCCATCTTGTTACAGGTGCCTTGATAAAGCTGCCATATTCACTGATGCTGAGATCAAAAGTGGGGACTTCTCAAACCCATGGAGGCTTTGCACTGTCACTCAAGTGGAGGAATTTAAGATCTTGATCCGCATGTTTCCCATATGGGCTACTGGAATTGTCTTTTCTGCTGTATATGCCCAAATGTCAACTATGTTTGTGGAACAAGGGATGATGATGGACACATCAATTGGTTCTTTCACAATTCCTCCTGCTTCTCTCTCAACTTTTGATGTTATCAGTGTTATATTTTGGGTTCCCATCTATGATAGGATCATTGTCCCAATTGCAAGGAAGTTCACAGGCAAGGAGAGAGGCTTCTCAGAGTTGCAGCGTATGGGAATTGGTCTCTTTATTTCAGTCCTATGCATGTCAGCTGCTGCTGTGGTGGAGATCAGGAGATTACAGCTTGCAAAAGAGCTTGGGTTGGTTGATAAAGATGTTGCTGTACCACTTAGTATTTTGTGGCAAATACCCCAATATTTCTTGTTGGGTGCTGCAGAGGTCTGCACATTCATTGGACAGCTTGAGTTCTTCTATGATCAGTCTCCTGATGCTATGCGAAGTTTATGCAGTGCATTTTCGCTTCTAACTACATCTTTGGGAAATTATCTCAGTTCTTTTATTCTGACTCTTGTAACATACTTCACAACAAGGGATGGGCAGACTGGTTGGATACCAAATAACCTGAATGAGGGTCATCTCGACTATTTCTTCTGGCTCTTGGCTGGTCTCAGCTTCTTAAATATGTTGGTTTATACTGTCTGCGCTAAGAAGTACAAACAGAAGAAGACTTCTTAAAGTTCCTTCTCTTATGGAGAGAATAACAACTGAAATTATTGTACAGAAAACTGCATTCATTTCAATATAAGACATCCTTCCCTGTTTGTATCTTATTGGATTAAATGACTTGCTTATGAAAGCATTAATCTTGCTCTTTTGTCTGAGCTTATTCTCAGGTATTGTAAGTAAATAATGCATGCTGTTCAATTTTAAACCATGCGTTCCATATTCAAAGAAACTGTCTGTATCTTATCGCATGAAAGGAATTGCTTCTTAAAGCAATAATCTTGCTTTCTTTTGTGTGTTGATTCTCATAGTTAATTAGATGTAATACAACTCTTATTATTTGGTTAAAGGTGTTGGCATTCACGCATGTTTATTAGCAGTTCCAAGAGTGTTTTGTTTGATGAATTCAGGTTTGCATGTCATATATCGCTCTGTTCTGGGAAGCAGTAAAACAGTTGGACAATGGATAATTGTTGCTCGTATTTGGTGGTTTGAATTGTTTAGACCATATTCGTATAGATTAAAGAATCTTCAGGGTTAGATAACATGATAAAAATTGCAGCCCATAAACATTCAGGAGGTGTTTACAGTGATAAAAGGGTCAAAATTCATATCAGCTTCCGGTATGGATTGTAGATCTGCTTGTGTAAGGAAGTTAGCTATCACTGTTATAAATCTTTGTTTATTTTTCCCTCTCGTGACTATTGGTAGATGAAACTCAATGTATTGCAAGAAGAAGTAAATCCCCCATCAAGAACAAGATTATGTGCCGTTATGAATCCAGCATCCTCAGAGGCAAGGAACAGTGCAGCTTGCGCGACATCTTCTACAGTTGCAGCCCTCCCACGTAATAAACTCCCCTTTTCACCGACGAGTTTACTTACTTGTTCTGGCCTTGTTTCATTCCCCAGGAAAATTCTATAAGCACTGACAAGCATATCTGAAGGGACACCATGAGGAGAAATGCAATTCACACGAATCCCATGCACGCCTAGCTCACAAGCTGCGGTTCTCATCAATCCAATGATGGCTGCTTTTGACAGAGAGTAGATGTGAGATGCCAGCCCTCCCATGACACCTGCAGAGCTTGACGTGCATATGATGGAACCTTTCGTGCGGTATTTGAGCATGGCTCGAGCCGCATGCTTGATTCCGTGTACATTGCCCAGCAGATTAATTGAGATGAGATGTTTCACTTGCTCCATGTCAAGGCTGGTTATGCTGCCTGCAGGACCTCCAATGCCAGCATTGCTGAACAGTATGTCTAGTTTACCTTTCCATGTAAGGGCTAGTTGGATAGCCGATTCCAAATCATCTTCCTTGGCCACATCGCAATGAATGTAGCGAGCTCCAATGGATTCAGCAAGCATGACGCCTAGTTCGTCCAATATGTCAGCAATGACAACATGAGCCCCATTTTCAGCAAATAATTTAGCTGCGGCAGCTCCAATTCCTCTTGCACCACCAGTTATAACTGCGACTTTGCCAATCAACCTACAAATCAAAGTATTCATTTAAATGAATATTCCATTTCGGGTTACTTACGTAGACTTCCAAGTTTGCTTTGTTCAAAATTTGTGAGTTAAACAGAGAAAAAACAGAAGAGAAAAGAGCAGGATCATTAACAAGGCTGTTGAAGTGACGATGAATGGAACCAACCTCTTAGCAGATAAATTCTGCACATGATCATGCTTATCAACACCTAGCTCCATTGCATACACAGCAACTCTGGGTTGTGAGCAAACATGTTATATAGGAACGACTCAAGGTCCATGAAAATTTGTTAATGCTAAACTTGAACAGGCTTTTTGAAAAGGCTGTGTTTTTTAACCCAAGGCACTGTTTTCATTGTCAACAACTACTTCCAAACTAGAAGCTGGTAATCTTGTACTGAGAGAATCTTGTTTTAATACATGTGAATATGTGCTTTTCATTTTTTGATTGTAATCTGCTTTCCAACAACTAGCTACCTTCTCACTTCATAATTAATGTGGAATACAACAAGGCATCTTAGTTTGAGTAAGTTTAAAGAATAATATGGTAATAGAGATGAAAGTCATTCCAACACCTGTGATATTTTTAATCATGATGGTTGGCAAAAAAGGAATAATGCCTAAAACAGAAAAGAAATTAGAAAAATGGATATAATTATGGATAATTTATTAAATTATCATTTTAAAATTTTTTATTATTAATATTAAAAGATTTATCTAATTTACAAATATATAAAAATTCTAATCGTATTGAATCATTTTTTAAAACATATTTTCTTATTTCTAATAATACTCAACAATTTATAAATTAATATTATGAAATTTTAATTATATAAAATTGAAACATTAATTGTCTTTTAATTATAGCTATTTTTTATTTAATAAACAATTCATTTTACACTTTAAAAACATTTGTAATTGTTATTTAAAAATAAATATTCACTTGCAATGAAAAAAAATACTAGTCTTTGTAAAATGAATATTGGATTAAAAATTACAAAAGTATTTTTTAACACAATGAAGGATAATATGTTTTAATTCATTTTATAAATAGTCTATGCGTCTAAAATGTTAAACATATAAGTGACATTGGATATAGGACAATCACCTCAAAATCCATGGTGATATGTATTTGGAGATTTGATTACTGTATTTAGAAACATCTTATTAATTTTACCTGGTATAATTTAAGATCATTGAAAGTAATTAGATCATTGTCTTGGAAAGTGATTTAATTCTCATCCAAAACTTTTATTACCGAGATGAAGTGATTGATATAGTTTATTATAAATAATATTATCCTTTTTAATATGTGAATAAAAAATTTATTTTTTATAAAATTGTAATTATTTTTATATGATAAATATTTGTATTTTTCAAAATAATAGTTATATTCCAAACTTAAAATTTACTTTTTATGTTATATTTTATTTTATTTCTTATTTCATTCAAATATTTTTATGTAATTAATATTTTAGAAAATAATTTACTTATTGATAAATATAAATTTTTCTTATTTGAAAAATAATTAAACTAGTTCATCTCCATTCAATTAGGCTCCATTATTATCAACTTGAATATATAACTTGAAACTTAAACCGTACTCAAATTTAAAATTTAAAATTTAAATAAAATTGAGAACATTTAAATAAATTCAATGCTTTATTTATATACGGGAATGATTTGAATTCAAACTTAACATAAACAAGTCGAGCTCGAGTACTTATTATTTATTAAGCAAAACTAAAATCACTTTGCCCACATAATCTAAACAAATGAGCTGTTAATTTTATCCATAATACGAAGGAAAAAAAAAAAAAAGTTACCGCGTGTAAATATATTTCTTTACCGCGCGCCCTTACACTAGAACAGAAGGAAAGCATTGTGAATGTAAACGGCCCGAAGTCAGTCCACCAAGCTTGGGGAGTCCGGGGAAAGAGAAAAACAGAGGACCTAAGCATTTCAGTAACCCAGAGAAAAATGGAAGTGGAGGGTTCATCGAAGAAGATGATAGCGACCCAGGCAGAGATGGTGGAGAACAAGGTACCCATTACATACAGGGACCAATGCGCCCACCTTCTCATCCCACTCAACAAGTGCCGCCAAGCCGAGTTTTACCTTCCCTGGAAATGCGAGATCGAACGCCACGCCTACGAGAAGTGCGAGTACGAGCTCGTCATGGAGAGGATGCTGCAGATGCAGAAGATCCGTGAAGAAGAGGCCAAGTTGAAGCAGGCTGGGAAACAAGGCGGCTCTATTCCTCTCATTCCCAAAACTGCAAATGCTTAAGCTACCTCCATGGTCAGTCAAATTTTCGTTTTTTTTTTTGGGTGTTTGTTGATTGATGTTTTCCTGCATAATTTGTTGGTGGGTTCTTTGATTTTAGATAAAGGGTTTTAGAGATCGAAAATTTGGGGCTTTTAGCTAGGTTAAGTTTAGTTTTTTGGTTTTATCAATTGACCATAAGGTTTATTGGGCGATCTGGGATTTGTCTATGTATTAGATTTTGTTAACTTTCTTTAAGGCTTCGTTTTAATCAAGGGTTTGCTGCTGAATATTCAATAGAAATTTCTTATTTGGTCTTAGTATTGAATTTGAAGCATTTAACTGTTTTCTCTTTTCTGGTTGGATCAATGTTGAATATTTTGAAATTAATTAATTTCTTGACAATCAGACACTCCATTATCAATAATTTTTTAGGTTTTGCTGGTTTCCTGTATTCTAATGAGGGAGTCTTTTTCTTTTGGTCTATTTATAGCAGAGTATATTGAATTTTGGGTTTATTTTGTTTTTGGTTCCTGTGGTATTTCATTGGAAAGAAAAGGGTCGGTGGAATGTACCCTACCATTAGGTGTGTGCTTTGGGTCCATCAGTCCGTACAATCGTGTTTTGTTTTAGCATTTTATTTTGAAGATTTTGGATTTGATACTAGGTTGTAGTTGCCTAATGGTTTAGAATATTGTCTTGTTATCCACAATATGGGGATTCTTATAGGAGATTGAGAACAACACACATTGTGGACTTCTGTGTTGTGCACAACCTCTAAATATGGGTTTGCTAAAGACTGTATGAACAGTTTTGTGATGGCTAATGATTGCAAGTGCTTCTGGATCTTGATTAATCAGATTGAATTTTACTTTTTGGACGCCATTGGATGTGTAGGTGGTACTTTTTTCAGTTACCTTTGACTTTTTTGGGGTATCTTCTCCAGTGAAAGTTGCTTTGCGGGCAAAATTTATAATTAGACTCTTTTCTTTATTTCAATGGATTTATAGATTCAGCCAATGGAAAAATGTTGATTATGGTCAGTATAAGATAGTGTGGTTACTGTGTAAAGAAGAAATGGAAGTGTAACTCGAGATCAGTGAGGTTATACATGGAGATCTACAAAAGTAGAATACCTCAGTTATTTACATAACATGAGATCTGATTAATCATTTTGTTTTAGTGTCTATGGTTGTTTCTCTCAACTGGTATTGGTATAATTCAAAATTTATTGAGATATCTTAAGAGGCCTGAGCCTGTGAATTGATGATACTGCTGTTTTTATTAAAGTTTGAGATGAAGTTATATGCCTTATGTTCTGAGCTTTAAAAGAGACATGGTAAAGAGGTAATAGTTAGGTACCCTTTTGCTGTGCACTGTGCTGACTTGATTTCGAGAGCTGAATGGAAGTATTTGGTCAAAATTTCATAGGACTCTACATTTAGAGGTTTAGAGGATGGAACCATTTCTTGATGAGAATATTTATAGAAAATAATTTTTAGTAAACTAAACTTAATTGAAGGAACAAATATGATCTTTCAAATTCTGAAAGCACAAAAACATCATACTCTCAACATTTTTAGGTCAGAAGCTCAAGAACCAGAAACTAGTGAAACTCATCTATTTTTTTTTTCTCTTCCCTCATTATAGCACTCCTAAGTACAAAATTTGCTGAAAGTAACCACCAAACAAGCAGTGAACAGAGTCACAATGAGCTGTGTTATTAACTAAAGAAAACACCTTGCTGAAAGTTATCACCAAACAAGCACAAGGTGTAGTAGGATGTGTCAGATGGAAACTGGTAATCACTTTAGGGTGGTTGGTTATGGTTTTGAGAATAGAACAGTGGGAAACCGTTGGTATAATTAGGTTTTACAATGGGGTTTGGTAGGGTTAAGGTAGAGTGAAGAAATCAAGGATTTAGGGAGCATGCTACCCTGACACTGTTAACAGTACATAGTTGATTTTGAACGTTTTTTACTCTGAATCTGATGTGAGATTGATTAAGAGTTGGCATATGACCATTGAGGATATGGAGATACATATACATGCATCTTTTAAGGAATTGTCATGCAGTTATAAAAGATTCTTTTTTTTTTTGGCCTTCTGGTGTATTCTGGCATTTAGCATGATTTATTCATGTGAGTAAGGTGTGTTTGACACTTTTGATGTTTATTGCTTCCTTTAATGATTATTATTTGAGAGAAAACTCATGCTTAAATACGTATTCTTGAAATATTAGTTCTAAATGGTGTTCAGCGTGTCACTATTAGGTCCATCATTGCTTGCCTGCTAGAGAACTATGGAATTTGATCTTCATATGCTAAAAGGGATACATAAGTGTGCCTTACTGATAAATTTGAAATTCCTGTTTTTAACCAAATCCTGGACATCACATTTTCCGATTTCAAGTCAATTGCTAATGATGCCTAGAACAGCTGTGTCAAATATTAAGTAGCACTATTTACATCCTAAGGGACTTGATGTGTCAGTTCTGGTTTTAGCTTCATGCTTTAGAAAGGCTGCATCAGCTCCTTATTTTCTGGTACAGAAGCTGATGCATGTATTAGTTGGCATTGCAGTTTCATCAAAGTCACAACGTGCATGCTTGTTACGACAAAACATGGAAGACATTGTAGGATTTTGATATATTGGTTTCTGAGAATAAGCTTGTGATGTTTCGGCCATTCAATCTTAGGTGTTCAAATATATATATACTTAAACATTCTTACTATCATTAATATCCATTGTAATAAGATTATTATTTAAGGACGGTAAGCTTTTTCTAGCATGCAATGCCTATGCAAGGGCATGAAAATGGATGATCAAAATTTAAAAATCATTGATTTTCTTTTTTCCTAGAAAAAAAAAAGAATTACAAAGGAAAAAAAAACTATAATTGTTTCAAATGGAAGAATAAAAAGACTCAGGATGCACTGCAATTGTGTTATATCCTGTCTATATGAAATTTGTTTGCTTTAATCTTCTCAAGATTTAGTTGCTAATAATGCTTTCCATTGATATTATTTTTCAATTTTGAATTAATATGTTTTTTGTTTTAGTTTTCATCACTCTTTACTTTCTTGGTTTTTTATTTTATTCTACATGAGTTGTGTATATGATACCTGGTTTAAATGTGGCAGGAAGGTTTAAACTGCTTTGGTGGATGTTTGATGTTTGTCACCGTTAATTTGAGGGAAAATTTGAAACTGTTTGTCGTGGACTAATGTAAAGGATACAATTTCTTTTCTGATCTTTATCAGCTCTACAATCTTGTTTATGGGAATAAAGTTGCTTATCAAAGTTGACATGATTTTTTCACATATTCTATGAAGCTGGTCACGACTAGCCAACTAGGCAAATATGCCTCAGATTGGTGGATGATAATTGTAGCAGATAGCCAATGGAACTGCATAAACATTATAATATGTTTCAAATTAGAAGTTTGTGAGGTGATGTATCGTAATTAATTTTTATACTAAATTTAAGGAACCTGCTGATGACCATGGTGAGCTGCACTTCTGTATAACAGAAAATGAATGGGATCTGTGAAGTCGAGAAACCAGTCGGATAAAGATCATTGGGGGCGTAGGGATTAAGAAATGAAGGTTTTTACTTGAAGTTTGTAGCTCAACCATTGGACTAAGTAAAAGGGAACTGATAAGAGGATAATGAATCGGCATGGATAGATTGCCACGACTGAAATGTTTGTGAATAAGACCAATTCCAGATTATAAATTAATCGAACTTCTGTTCAAACAAGAGTCACGGTTCCAATCTCAACAGTAAAAATAGTTGGACTGTTACAATCTTAATCGTTCCTTGTAGCCTGGTTTCTTTGGAGCATGGAAAAGAAACGGTTATTAAGCTAATCCCTTAATCAATGATATGGGCGATACATCTACGGTTCTATCCCAAGGGTCGCTAAAGTCTGATACTCCGGATGACACTAGCCTACTGTTTTCTTTTTCTTCTTCTTCTTCTTCTCCTATTGTGTCTGCCTGTCATATGTCTAGTTGATTTTTCTGTTTTGAAAACTGTGCTTGGGTTTGGACTCTGGAGCTTCAAGTATACATTGGCAGAGGCCCTTTTTCCGATTTATTGCAAGGTATTCATCACTAGCTTTGTAGTTTTAGACAAGAGGCCCTTTGAGGAAAATGGGTTTTGAGATAGTGTACTGGGCTTTTGTTCTCCAATGATGTAGGCTGCGCTTCATTTGGCATTCTTTGTGAGTACCCTGAGGATTTTAACCATCTTGCTTTCCATGATTACCTAAATAATGTAGTGAACTATGGCTTGAGTTTTGCACTTTAAGGTATGCCTTTTTGGGGCTCAAGAGGCCTATGAATCTCAGTCCCTCCTTGTCATGATTCAAATTTATGATCTTGAAGAGATTGAGATGTTTCTTTTAAAACCAGAGGTATGATCATTTTGACCTAGTCCAATCATAGACGCCTTTCTTAGCCATTCAATTATTGGCTTGTTCTCTCTTGAGCTGCTTTCAGTGCATGCATAGTTTAAGAAGCAAGTTGTAGGAGAATGCAAAGCATAGAATACCTAGAAGTTAGCTCACTGTTGAATTTAGAACCATGTGTTTCATTATAGCATGTTAGGTTGACAAACAGTTGAATGGCTACAATATCACTGCTATCTTTAGGACAATGTTGTTTTTGAGGTGCCAGCTTGCAACGAGGCAATCCCAAAAACTATAGAGCCAAATGTGAAAGTTTCTGATGATCTCTTGGGTTCAACTTATTCATTGATATTCGAGTAATGTTGACAATTGCAAATAATTTCACAGAGAGATGACACACGACATCCACACGTGGTTTGTTTTTCCATCCTAGTTCTTGCTTAAGAATGGGTTAAGGATTTGGTAAAACGAGTTTGTCAAGGACTTTTTGACGACAAAGATATCGTGTTTTTCTAAAGTTAAACCATGCTGCCCACGGGAATAAACACCTTCCTCAAATCATATTATTGTTATTCATAATACAAATACAAACTTTCTGTTACCTTTTTTCTATTTCATCAAAAACCTTTATATTATTATAAGATTATTTCATTATCACCTAATCGCCCACCTCTCCTAATCCTCTTGTATCTAAATTGTTTGTTTTCGAGGAGAAAACAAATGGCAAAATCAACATAAATTTAACAATCACACCTGCCTCAACTATAACCACAACAAAGCATATTTCTTCTTTGTTTGCTTTTGTAGACATACATACATACATAAATTATATATATGTATTCACACACTGAATCTATTTTGAAAATGTTATTTCAATTAAATTGATCAAGTTAATAATCCCATTACCTATGCATTTAAAAGGCCAAATCAACTAGGACTTTGTCTTAGTATGGATGGTCTCAATTATATACACAATAGACGTAGCTCTTTCTTAATTTATACGTACTACATACCTCTCTTTCTAAAATTCAATTTTGAAACATCGCTATGTAATTTCTTAAGAGAGGGGTGCATTGAAAATCATGTTGCATTGATTAAAACCTGTCTAATGTCCATGGAAAATGATTAACGATTAGGTGGATATCGGATGATCCAGAGTCCAGAAGAGAGTTCACACCAAAGTGTGAATGATGGATGACATCTTTGAATAAGAAATAAAAACTGAGTTAGAAAAGGGCGAAAGGAAAAAGCGATAGGAGACAAAATTTGTGGAGAGAATGTAAGAATAAAAGTATATAACATCAAGGTTGGATTAGGGAAGTCAAATTCCCTTGGATTAAATTAAAAACAATGGGAAAGTGTGGGACACGCATAAAGGAGAATTGTTATTATAAAAAGAAATTGGTATTGATTAGAAGTTTTGGTTTTGGGGAATAATGTGGAAGCTTCAACAATGAAAACATAACCTAACACTTTTGATTTCTTGGGGGCCGGGGGGGGAGGGGGGGGAATTGTCCAAAACCATACTCACAATTTATCACGTTGCCATCCAAGCCAGGTCAGAAAATGGCTTTTACGGCGGGTTACGTGCATAAATAGAGGTTAGGAGAAATCAATATGTAACTCACCAAACAATCCTCCTGTTTGTATTCTTAATTATTATATAAATCCAATTCCCCATCTTCATGCTTGGAAAGTCAAACGAAATGGGTCCTATTTTCTACAATCATCAGATATTCCCTACACCATTTGGGAATCGTGTATATATATGCATAGTTTGATTACCATACAGTATATAGCCAGGGTGAAAGTAACTAATATATATCATGATATTTTTAAGTTTTGATTTTCAAACTAAATCTTGGTTTTACAAACATCAAATTAATGGAAAAACTCCTCCATTTTCTCCCCACATGAACACAAATATTAGAGATGTGTGTTTAATTGATTATGTGATGGTGAGAAAGGTGCAGTTTGAGCAGTCGTCAAGTATCCGTAGCCCATTTTTCCATGTTGAAAATGGAGGCTTTTGAAGTGCAAAAAAGTGGGGCGGGGGATGGTTGGCAAAATTAACTTCATCTCCATGGGTCCCCAATTTGTCACGCCGACTACCATTCTCTAGGCAAGGCTTTCCCTTGGTGGGTGACAACCCTTTCCTATCCCTAATTCTTCTAGTGAAGTGAAGAACGGAAAGACAAAAAGTGGGAGTCACACCTCAAATTTCAAAAGTGCTTTCTGTCTTTTTTCTATGTGCTGATGATATTATGATCATTGAGTGGTCATCTTTTACTTTGATTAATATTTGCCATCAAGAAATGTCTCTATCTTATTACAATGGAGAGTGACGATTAACCTTTGAACAAAAGTTCAAATCCACTTTTTTGATAATATATATATATATATATATGTACAGAAAAAAAGTCCAAACTATATATAATCAATGTTGTAATTAGCATTGATTATCTTTTTTTGAAATTACAATATGTGCTCAATAGCTAGCTAGAAACAATTCTGCCTCAAAATTTTGTTTTCTTTTGGAAATTCATTGATTATTGACTATAAACATATATATGAGGAGAATATCTTTTTGTATAATTTATTAGTATCATGTTTATATTTCAAAATTCATTTATATACGTTTAAATTTAAAATTCACAAAATAATTTAAGTACGGTTGTTGCACATGTGTTGCGAAAACCCTGATTTTGTACATAAAATCATTAATATATATATTCACATTATTGAATAAATTTGAGATAAAGTAATAGTGTTTATTAAATGGTCCTTAACCCACAATTTGGTCATGGCTAGCTGAAGTTTTCAAGTAATAAATCTTGACCAAAACCTTGCCCAAACTTTACTCACGCTGCATGATATGCATGACCAAAAAGGCACTTCAATCAATAAAAGTGACACAATTATTCAAACTTGTACCTAATTCGATGCCTGGAGGTAGAAAAGTCAAGATGGTGGGAACCCTTCCTTAATCATTGTTCATTCCCTAGATTAATCAGAATAAACATATGCAATATACTAATATTTTCCCAACATTCCACTCTTCCTTCATGTTTGCATGCACATCAAGACAAACAAATAACAATAAATAAACAACAAACAGTCAAAGCCAATTTGTAAAATTCCTCCAAACTTATTTATGCATATATTATTCTTCTGGTTTTCATGCACCAATTCTCCCTGCGCCTCTCTCAAATATCTGCAAATAAACGTCCTTTCGTTTGAAATACACACACACACACACACACACACACACACACACACATATATATATATATATATATATATATATATTTTGCTTCCGTGCTAGGCTGGTGCAATTGTATTTCAAAGCTATAGTCTTCAACCATGAAATTTATGCATGGAAGAACAGTAATTTTGATCAGTCAGTCCACAAGTAGGATGATTAATACATGCGTAAGAATTGCATTGCCTAGGGTCAAAACATAAGAATTAGAGAGTTGGTCAAATTAATAAACTTCCCCTTTTCCTTTTAACTTCCTAGTTTGACAAAAAGCCAAGGGAGAAAAAAAAAAAACGAAAAGACTAAACCAGAAGAAGAAAAAGGGTAACATATATATAAATATATTATAAGGAGCTGAAAAGGGTAAGGACATGGAAAATGCCAGAATTCCATCGTCACTTTCAAGGATTATTGAAATGTTTTAGGTAACCTTGAGTCGAGGTAGAAACGGGAAATAATGGAGGAGGGTGCCTTTTTTGCAATGTAGATGACCCATCTTTTTGACAAAAATGGCTTAGCAAGTGAATGTCAAACCTTACAAGCGTAGCAGGTCATTTTTTTTACACAAGCTCACGTGGGTGGGATGTGGGAGGGAACCTTTAAACAAAAAGCTTCAAAACAAATAACTGGCCATAAAGTGGGTGAAGAAA